GGGCTGTGCCGGTTGCGGGGCGTTTGCGGGGAGCCCCGCTGCGAGCCCCTCGGGGGTGGGAGCCGGGTGCCGGCGCTGGGGTTTGTGCGGGAGGATGCTGCGGTGCAGGCGGAGCTGAGCGCTGGCAGCAGGCTGCGTGCTCGCCGAAGTTCCCAGATTAGTTCCAGATGAAAAGGATCTGATCTGCGTTAGAAAACTTTAATTTCTTATTGTTGCGACCAGCGGTTTATCCGCGCTGTGGAGAGGGCTTGTTAACGCAGACAGGCAACTGGTAGCGCTTTGCTCTGTGCCCTCCTTTCCCCTTCCCAGGAGGAGATGCTTAAAATGCCAGTAAGCCGCTGGAAGAGCAAATGCTGTTGCTCCCCGATCTGCTGCCACCCGCAAAAAGGATGGTAGGATATTGCGAGCAGACTTCGAAGACAAATCCTTACAGTGTGAGCTGGAGGTTATTCTGTTACTGAGCTGAAATGTAGCCGAGCTGCAGTGGAGATTGTTCCCTCTGCAGCATCAGCCCTGATTACCGAATACTGGCACAGCACTTCGTCGGGTTTCGTTACAGAAAGCAAGTCTGGTGAGACTAATACCAGGCTGGCTCTCGGTCAGGTGAAAGTCTCAGGCGGAGAAGGGTTTGATTTGACGCTCAAACCCTTTAGGAGGGAAATATGAGACTGAAATGCTGGCGTTCTGAAGTGAAAGGAATCTAGCAGGGTCTTAAGATGTGGAAATGCCTGTTATTTTTTGTGTTCATTATGGTCTTGTGTTCTGTACCGTAATGAATGTGAAAAAGAGGCCTTGGACTGTTCCTTCCACCTTTTGTACAAACCGTTGTATTTACTATGTGCTAAGTACTTGTTAGAAGTATTTTGGAGAATACAATAGGAACACCCTGCCACACCTAAAAGCTATTCTGCTTTATTTCTCTTTGGAATGGAGCAGGATGGAAAAAAGCTTTCCAGGAAGTGATAAAAGGCCATGGCTTGGGTTCTTGGTCTTGCCCATTAGCAGGTCTGCGGGCCTGAAATACTGCTGTGTTGCTAAACAGATATAGAATATGGTTTTTCGTACTGGCTTCAGGTGACCTGCAGTTAGGCTAATCTCATTCTTCTGGCCGCTGAGGATCTTTTCGACAGCTAATGAGAATATTTTGTTTTTCTTCCAGGTTTTCATTTCAGTGCGGTTTTCCTCTCTGTGGCAAGGGCTGCCTTTTGAAGCAGCACATTCATTCTCCCCTTCAAGCACCATAAGTCTCATTTGCCAGCTTCAGAACCATGGCAACAGAAGAAAAGAAGCCAGATGCAGAATCCACCAAAACACAATCTACTCCTTCTTCCTCAACCAATCAGAGCAAGGTGTGTGTGGGGGGCTCCAGACAATATCCGTGTAAATACACACGGCAACTAACCTGCGTATTCAACAGGCAAACCAGAATTAGAGAATTGAATTCCAATATAGATTAAGAGCTTCTCCAGGTTTCTGCTTCTGCTGTCGTCTCGAGCTGAAAACGTGCTGAGGATTTTATGGGAAAAGCGAATGGAGTACAGCCTCTTTTGTCATGCTCGGGTTTTTTTTTTGGTTTAGTGGAAGTTCTTGCAAACGAAATACTTCTTGTCACTTTGAGCATTAGAAAGGCAGGTTGGTTGTATCCTTGGAGTGTCTAGAGGTGACTGGAGAATTGGTGAATCTATGATCGTAGTTGCAAAGTGGGGAGGCAGTCATTATTCACATTCTTTGAAGCCTGCAGATGCTCAAAGGAGATGTTACTGTCTAACCACGAAGCCTTTGCAAAGGGTGAAAAGGGGAAAAAAAAATTGTATTTTAGGGGTATGGAGGGATTGGCCTGTGATTTGATTTATGATAAGGATGAAAACTGCAAACATTTAAAAGCATTACACAGATCAGTACCGAGGGTATTATCTTGATCTACCAAGCGCTTTATGGCTGGACTGTTGGATTACTCTCACCTGTTTGTTATTGGCTTGGATGAAATTCATACCAAGGATGAGCTGGTGTTGTGCACGCAACAGCAAGGCACTGCTGGCCCCAGACAGCAAGGGTGTTTGTTGTGTTGTTTTTTGAATTGCGGGGGGGAAATGTAAACACTGGAATCTCTGTTATAGTGAACATTTATGCAGTCCATTGCTGTGTACTGACCTGGTCTGATACAGAGCTTGTCGCTGAGATACTAAATTTGGAATTTATTCAACTCATTCATATATATTTTTCTTACAGCCTGCACCAGTAAAACCAAACTATGCTCTAAAGTTCACGTTAGCGGGACATACAAAGGCAGTCTCATCAGTAAAGTTTAGTCCTAATGGAGAGTGGCTAGCCAGCTCCTGTAAGTATGGCTTTCTTTTTATCTCATCTAAAACATGCAAATGTGGGCCTTGGAGAGCTGCCTGTCTTTAGCGTTACCTTCATCAGATGGAGGAGGGATGTCGTGTCATGGTTTTTCTTAAAAGGAGCAATACCAAAGCTGTCAGTCTTTGAGATAATCTGCTTTAAGCTTTTTAAGTTCTGTTACTTTGAACGCTGGATCTTCTATGTGTTGCCAAGGTGGAGAGTCCTCACCTGTTCAGCTTTCTTTACCGAGCAAACGGGCAAAAGCAAACACAGGATTCTTTTCCTGTGCAAAGGAAACCCTTGTGCTCTTCTGTCTTGCTAAAGACATAGCTTAAGCTTTTAAATTACACTTTGTGTGCAGTATCTGCAGGCAAAAGCTTAGCTCTGGGAAATAAGGAAGATAGCTTTGCGCTACTAGGCTGGACTGTAGAGTGTGCTGTGGTGGACTGGCCACGTGCTTCTGTGCTGTGTGCCTGTGGCATTTAATAAGTCACAGCCTTTGATTTCCCCAGTGAAATGTGCAGAAGGTTATTATAAATAGTGTTTCACTACTTGCTCTCTTAAGTGGTAGATCAAGTCCTCTTCCTGTCAGCTTTGGTATTTCCTAAAACTTTTTGGTAGTCAACATTGCTTGACAGCTTTCCTTTGAAAATGTGTTTATATGGCCCTCAGTGATCCAGAGAGGATCCATATATAAGGAAAGGGCGATTGGAAAGAAGAACATTATTGAATATGATAGTGAGGGCCACTCGAACATCTTCCAGACATGGGAATGGCTTAGGTCTTCGGCTTAACTGCAAGTTGCCTTAATAAGACCAGTGCAGTGTACCATATATAAATCATTTTTATGTTAAAGTATCCTCATGAAAGTCCCCTCTCTCCCCTGCCCAGGTTTTCCAACCTCTACCTCTGGCAGATATCAATCTTTCTCTCTGGCGTGTTTTGCAAGTTAGCATGGATAATATGTCTGGGTTTTTGCAGGCATTAATTCAGTCCAGCTTGTGGTGTAATTTTTGTTCTTGGGCAAAAACGTTTCAGCGTTCCTCGTGGAACGGTACTACTTTTACCACTGGCAATCTAAAACAAAAGTAGAAACCCAAGTTGTCATCAGAGAAATTAAAGCTGCTGGAGGCTCTGTGCATTCCAGGCAGTTTATGTAATCTCAGCTGCTGCAGCTTGGCATGTAGGAAACTGTTCTTTACCAATTACATATTACCTTATACACTTAGGTCTGCTTGGGGAGGGAGAACTACCCGCTGTTTGCAGAGCTGTAGTTAACATATTTCTTTCCACCTGGAAGGGACAGCTGTATCTGTTAGTGCTGTTAAGAGATTAACTGGCACATTCTTTTCCAGCTGCTGACAAACTCATTAAAATTTGGGGAGCGTATGATGGCAAGTTTGAAAAAACAATATCTGGTCATAAACTGGTAAGTATGAGGAGATTACTGTGCACTTGAAAGTGAATTTACTTGTAAAGAATTTTGCTTTCTTTTCCCCATCCAGACATTTCCGTTCTTGGTTAGTTTGACTTGTGTAGGTTTGTTCTTCAGTCTCATTTTGTACTTTGTTTATACAGTCCTGCACAACAGCCTGGGACTGGAATTGCTGAAGTAATACCAGGTCAGGCTGGAAATATGGGTGAAGTGCAGGCTGATAATCGAGTACCTACATGCACGCTGCCTAGCCATTTTCTTGAGCCCCTCCATTTCAGGAACACCAACCTCAGACACGGGGCAGTGCCTTCTTGGGTGAAAATCCCTGTAAACTCTAATTCTGTGTCCTGTTCCATCTTTCCTTTGTATATGGAACAGAATGGCTTGCCTTTTAAGGAGATTGAATTTTTCTTGTGGGTTTGCCTACATAAACACAACACTTACTCATTTTTCAAAGTTCTGAAGAAAACACAAACTCCCAAACTCTTCGGTTTTGTTTTCTAAAGTTTTTTACGTGCTTTTTTTTTTAAAAGTTTCTTAAGCAAAAATGAAGATTCACCAAAAGAAAAAACAGCAGAATCTTGTTCTTCTCTAGTCCTCAGGGACTCAGACCGTAAAGAGCAAGCCATTTGTCATGAAGAGAAGCTACTTATTCAGATTAGTTTATACAGCATACTGTTTATGAATTCCAAGAAGGGGTGTTGGTGGCCACAGTAAGAGCTATGTGAACAAGCCATTGATGTGTTTGGAGTATGTGGCTCAGCTTAAAATGAACAAGTGTCAAAGGAGCTGTTAACCCAGTCAAATCAATGAATTCCCAACTCTCAATGCTGAATTTTCTTTCAAGCTTCAGCTGTGAATATAATATGCGGTCTGTGTTTTCCATTTTCCTGTGTCAGTGAGCAAACAGAGCTGAGAAGACGATTGTTTTCCTTTGTTTTAGGGTATCTCTGATGTTGCTTGGTCATCAGATTCCAACCTTCTTGTCTCTGCCTCCGATGATAAAACTCTCAAAATATGGGATGTAAGCTCGGTAAGGGCAGAACCTATTATTTCCCTTTCTTCTCCCCAGCATTGGCATCTTAACTCATGTTCTTCTGAGAGACAGCCTTGATGTGCTATGATGAGAGAAGGTAGGGTTTTAAGCACTGGCTCCTCTTTGGGTAATACTCTTTCCTGCTTATAATGAACTGCTTGTTGAATGGGCTGTGAGGATGAGTGAGTTATGCTGTCTGGTTTTGGAAAGAGGGGGATGCTTATGGGTACCATGAGGAGTCTGGTTATCTTCTGAGAGCGCTTAAGCCTTATGGTGGCAATGCAACTGCAGGCTTCATTTCTGAAAGCAGCCTCTCAGATGAAACCTTTTTGTAACTTCTTATCATATCTTCACTTGTCTTTGCTTCTCTCCCCCTTCCTTTTCTGTGATCACAATGAGAACTGGATAATTTGGTTGAATTTTGATTGGGTATGTTGAACTGCTTGGTTCTCCTGAGTTGCCCAAAGGGTTTACAATTTGGTTGCAGTCATTAAATATGTCTTTTTTTTTTTTCTTTCCTGTTGTTTTGCTGTAGCTCGTCCTCTGCCCATCTAAATCTGGGGTTAGAGGTGGTTTCTTTGTGTGCTGCACAGTGATTAACCTTAATGCAGCTTATCTGAATGCATTTATAGCTGTGAAGGATGCCGTATATTTAACTCTGCTAAATCTTATTTCAGGGTAAGTGCTTAAAGACATTGAAAGGGCACAGTAACTACGTCTTCTGCTGCAACTTCAACCCTCAGTCAAACCTCATCGTGTCTGGATCAGTATTTGTTTTTTTTTTTTCTTTGTGCGAAGCAGTGCTGCACACCGCTGTCGCTCGACACTAAGGGGACAGACAGGTTCTTTTAGAGATCCTTGGCGGAATGATAATGGCACTAAATCGTAGTTACAATTAAAGCTTGTTTCTTAACAGGATATTATGGTTAGTATAGCACAGAATTTATGATTAGAATGGCACAGGATTTCTGCAAGCAGAATCAATGTAGTACAATTTATAGGTAGCATAATACAGAATATATAATACAACTTAACTTACAATTTCTCATCACCTAGATCCTAACTTAACTTAAAGTACGACTTCTAATCACCTGGACCCTCTGCAGATTGGGTCAGATCTTAATACATGATTTGCTGTATCAATAGAACAATCATAATCTAGACTTGAAAATCATACAAAATAAAAGAATAAGAGTCACTGACTCAGTCCTTGGAGGAAGCAGATGATGGTGGGGGCGTCCCTGGCTACCGGCGGGGTCACGGTCTCACTGTCCGGCAGCAGTTCTGGTCCAGGTTCCCTGCTTAGGACTGGTAACTGCTTGATTTTGTAGACAGTGCTCTGTATGCTGTTACGCTTCCCTGTTCTGGGACGGGGTGACCACCACCACCGGGTTGGCCGGGTGCCTGGGACCTTCAAGGCCGGCGAGGAAGGGAGTAACCGGCCTGGTGCCCAGGAATCTTGAGGCCGGTAGGGAGGGGAAGAAGAAATCTGTTTGGTTTGTCTACTTGGTTCACAGGACCTTCAGGGCCTGATAATGAGGGGAAGGGAACAAATAAGTGATCTGCTCAGTGACAAAGAATGGATGCTTGCGTTATAAAATGGTGTTAGTTATGCTAACCGCATTACCAGGGGTCGGGAGCGGGGGGTACCGGTCACAACCCATTCCCATTTCAGTTCTCTGTCTTCCTCCACAAACACAGCTTGTAGTCAGATGAACTGTGCAGTGTCACCACTGTATTTGCTTGGGGACACAGTCAAGCCCTTAAACCATCCTCAACATGCAGGTTTCCTGCATGGAGAAGAAGAGTTCAGGGAGCTATGTTCCCAGTCTGTTATTTTTGCCCTGTGTGGTGCTTGTGTCCTAGGCTTTCTGATGCATGTGCATCTAGTCAAGCTGTAACACCTTGCATGCCGTGAATAGATGCATCATTAAACCACCTTGTGCATTTCTTCAATCTTCAGTTTGACGAAAGCGTGAGGATATGGGATGTGAAAACAGGGAAGTGCCTCAAGACGTTGCCTGCTCATTCTGACCCAGTCTCAGCTGTAAGTCCCTTCTGATAAATGAACACACTAACACACTTATTTTGTTAAGAGAGCTCCTCTCCTGCCTCTGTTTGTAGAGGAGTGGGTTTGTGCTCTAACTCTTATTATCAAGCCCTTACACAGTGTAGTGGATGGGCTGTGGTGGATTTGCCAGTGGTCATTGCTCAAAGAGAATTAAATGAATGGTGTTTTCCGTAAGATAGATACGGATTTTGGTCTTGGGTGTTAATGAGGGGAGCAGTGAATAGTGGTGTGCCAGTCATGCCTGAGTCTAGCAGTCTGATGCTGGGGCACAGGTTTGTGGTCACTTGAGGATCAGCAAACAGCCTGTATGTCTGTTGCTTTCGTGTTGTTCCAAGCTGTTACTGAAGTCCAGAGCAGGGTAGTTCCATAATACGCTCCGTTTCAAATCTCGTTCATTTAATAGGTAAAAGGAGCTTGGAATACAGCAGTATCCATTCAAATGAAGGAAAAACAGAAGGTGTTCAACTCCTAAAACTTGATCTTTGTGAACATCAGTAAAGTTATTTTTCCCCTTCTATAATATCACAGGTGCATTTTAATCGTGATGGATCCCTGATAGTGTCAAGTAGCTATGATGGACTCTGGTAAGTGGTTATTTCTTGTCTGCAGCACTGTTCAAACCTTTTGCATTTAAAAAAAAGGACTTTTTTTTAAAAAAAGCTTGTATTTGTAATGTTAAAATTGGAACAAAGACTTCAAAACCAATAGTAATGATTCTTGTTTGGTTTTAATAGTCGAATCTGGGATACAGCATCAGGCCAGTGCTTGAAAACACTGATTGGTATGTAGGAATACTTCTTGTTTGTGCTCCATTCTTCGTTATTAAGTTGTGACATAGATATTCTGCATCATTGCTGTGAACAGTGGCTTTCTTAAGCTCATTTTACTGTCTCCCTACCATTCTGTTAGTACACTATTGTCCTCCAATCTATTGCAATGAGGGGAACTATCCTCTCATGTGAATGGGAACTTGCTTAAGCTTTGAGTGTTACGTAGTATAGATGGACAAATGAGAGTTTTCCAAAGTTTTCTACTGTTGCGCTGTGTAGTGCTTGCAGTGCAGCAGTTCAGAGCTGTAACGACAGAGTTGTTTTCATCGCATCCAACAGCACAACCAGGTAGTCTGCGACTACACAACTGCAGTCAAACCATGACAACAAGCTGCCTGTTTTTATTGCAAGAGGCATGAGGCATCTTGTGAACATGGCTAATAAAAGGAAACCACCTGTTGGGCATATGTTCCCTAGTCCTTCATATTCTTATAAAGCATTATATAGACAAGTTATATGGCACTGCAAATCAACGGCATGTATTCTAATATAATGATTTTTAAAAGGTGGAGATACGGTCTTGCTCTGATATGTATTGTTGCAAGGAAGGAAAGTTGAGTTACAAAGGGTTATTTAAAATGTTTGTGAGAAAAATGCTTAATATCCTTTTCTTAAATTACTGAAAACGATCACTGTTCTTATGCCTCTCTTTTTCTTGAAGTAAAGAGAAAAGAAAAAAAAAGAAAAGTTTTGTCATCCTTTGACAAAAATTGTTTCAGTGAAACAATTAACAACAAACTATTGTCAAAAGAAATTATCTGTCAGTGAGACAATACAACTGTGCACTGTTTAATATCGCTTTTATTTTCACTGTAGATGATGATAACCCTCCTGTGTCTTTTGTGAAATTCTCCCCAAATGGCAAATATATACTAGCTGCAACTTTGGACAAGTAGGTATTAAAAAAGAAAAAAAAAAAAAGAAAAAGAAAAAAACCCCAGGCTTTGAAGTGTTTATGAGTATCAGATAAAACTTTTATTTTGCTGCTGTTTAGCTATCATAGTAATGGTACTACACAAGTTCATATATACTATCAAACTTAAAAAGCCTGCAAGGTGTTGTGCTTTGCTAACGGCACAGGCAGGACTTGGGTCTTTTTAGCACTGCTTGGTGACTGCAACACCCATTCATTCCTCCTTGTACCTTTCAAAACCTCAGCATTTCCTTGCATTAATCATATGATTCTTCTGTCTCTCGATGTTACAAAAAATCTAGCCTAGAGAAGGCTGCAATATATAAATAACTTTGTGTGTAAGGCATAAAAGCAGCGTCGGTGGGCTGATTGTATTGACAATAATTCACCTGGGGAATTTCCATGCAGCTACTAAGAAGGGATTAGCTGGTCTATCATCTCCATTCACAGACGGTAATGATGCTGTTGCTTTCGTGAGACCTTCCTTTCCTAGGTCGTGAGGATGATGCCCTCCCTGTCTGAGCATCTTTGTACAAAAGATACCACAGGCTGTTGCCTGCCTCTTTCAACTAGTCAATGAAAAGCAGAGAAAACACAGGTTAGGCTCTCCGGGGAAAAGAAAGGGAACTATCTTGCAAACTCTGGCAGTAGCCTGGGTATCAGTACAGGTGGTCTGTATCTGGAGATGCGTGGGGCTTGCTTAGTCTGTGGAAGAGCCTAGTGCTTGCCTGAAACAAGTGACTTGCTTCATGTCCAAATTGTATTCAGTAGCGTGCTTAGTCGCTTGCTCTGCACTGCCTTAGGCTTGAACGGGTTGAGGATGCCGCAGTCCAGTGTTTACTCCCCTGAAACACCCTGGTGCAGGACTGCAAGTTGAAAAATTAGGGCAGTGTGTGTGTATCTTGGTCCGTAGCTACTTTCAGCTGATTTGATTTTAAAACAGCTGGGGGAAAGGGATAGTTTGTAGGGCCATCCCTGGTTTTAGTGGGTTTCTTACCCTGAGAAAGATTATGTTTAATGAAATCTGTATGAATCTTCTGGATGCATTGGGAATTGGGGGATGTCTGCCAAACCACCTTATCCTCTCTCACTGTAATTTGTCTGTTATCCAGCCCATCGTTTCCCTAGCTGTCTGGTCATTATTTATAAAGAAACTTGCAGGTGTGGGGAAATACTTAAATAGACCCTTTTTTATGGAGGAGAATATGAATGGCATGGCAGTAAAATTGATACTTTGGGGTTAACTAATGCTGCATTCCGAAGCCAGGCTGAAGTGATCCATGTAGACTTTAAGAACTCTGGTATAGAGAAACTTTCTCTGCTGCTAGGAAGTTGTCAGATAAAAAAACCCCAAGAACTAAAATCTTTGTTTTTCTTTTGTTTTCTAGCACTCTTAAACTTTGGGACTACAGCAAAGGAAAGGTAAAAACAGCCCTGCCTCACTATGTAGACTTAAGTAAGCTTATAGGAAAATCTGGATTTCATATGTGCTTTTTAAACTTGCTTAAGATTTTATGAATACTATAGAAAGAAGTGTTAGTACCCCTTTATTGGAGAGGACAAACTTCTAGCAGGGCCTGTTGTGATAGGACAAGGGGTAATGGTTTTAAACTAAGAGAGGGTAGATTTAGACTAGATACAAGGAAGAAATGTTTTACGCTGAGGGTGGTGAAACACTGGCCCAGGTTGCCCAGAGAGGTGGTGGCTGCCCCATCCCTGGAAACATTCCAGGTCAGGTTGGACGGGGCTCTGAGCAACCTGATCTAGTTGAAGATGTCCCTGCTTATTGCAGGGGGGTTGGACTAGATGATCTTTAAAGGTCCCTTCCAGCCCAAACTATTCTATGATTCTATGACTAAAGATGCCTTTGGAAAAAAAAAAGAGTGATTGGGCTCCTGCACAGCCCTGAGACATTAAGTGAAGCTATATTTCTGTATTTTTCTCTTTATGAACAATAAATTGCCTGTTGCTCTCTTTGTGGTAATGTGACAAATTTAGGGCTCTTTTTTTTCCCTTCAAAATTGTTCAGTGTTCTAGGGCAGAGATGCCCTCTGCATCCTCTAGATAAGTTGGCAGGGTGGGAAACACAGGCAGATATATTTAGTCTTCTCTGCCAAGAGTTTGTCCTTGACTGAGGAAAACTACCTCCCAGCTGTATTAATGTCTTGTGGCTCTTCACTTTCAGTGCCTGAAGACGTACACAGGACACAAAAATGAGAAGTACTGCATATTTGCAAATTTCTCCGTTACTGGTGGAAAGGTTAGTGTTTATTTGAGATGCTTTTTACCAATGTGCGGTTCTTACTGCTTTTCTCTGTAGAAGAAACAGTAGTTTGGGGATGGAAACCTCCTTTGGTGGGTGCTGGTTCACTGGTGCCATAGTGTGGTGGGAGAAGAGGGTGTCCTAGGAAAGTCCCTCTGAGCACCTCTGGTGTCTGTGTCTCTAGGTGGGCCCGCTGTCCCATTGCAGGCTCCTGCCACTGCAGCAGTAGAAAAGGACTTTTCCTGCAGCAGGAGAGCGGCTGCTTGTGTATCGGTTCGCCATAGCCACACAGCAATCGGCCATCAGATGATAGGTTGGTGTGTTCTGGTTGAGATGACAGAACAAATCAGCAGGGCTTAAGTCCTAACACAGAACCACCTTAGCACTTTTTGCTCCGTTAGTTTTCCTCCTCTGGCACGCGCAGGGTGGAACAAAACTTTCTGCTGCCTCCATGCACTGAATAGAGGCTGAGAGAGAATGAACGGCATCAAGCAGTTGTATAATGTTGGAAGTTCCCTTTCATATGATGACAAAAATGTTTACTGAATAATAGCAGTTAGATATAGATGAGGAGAAAGATTAAAATAACTTGTTTTTTCTCTGCTCCTCCAGTGGATCGTGTCCGGTTCAGAAGACAACCTGGTTTATATTTGGAACCTTCAGACAAAAGAGATTGTACAGAAATTACAAGGACACACAGGTGTGGAAGAGGATTTTGGTTTTATTGATGGAATATCCATCATGTCAGCTTGTAATGAGGGCTTAGCTTGAGCATTTTCTCTCTGATGTAAACTAATTTATGTCGGACCCATAAATTCTTGACTGGCTGAAGCTTAATTGAATCCTAGGAGTTCACTCCTTTTTATGAAGGGTTTTTTGTGCGCATTGCAAGTGTTTATTCTTTCACTGTGAGAACTTTGACATCAGCTTACAAAAGAGATTTCCTTGAGTTCAGAACTGGTCAAGATACTTAAGGGACTCATAATATTAGGGACTTTGAATTGCCTATTAACACCTTCCAAAGCTGCAGCTCTTGAAAGGATAAGGACTGATGTGGTCCTGCTCTTGAAGGCAGAGTTGAGCGCGTATTGAGACGTCACCTGATGGGTACTTCAGTCTGAATCCCACAAGAGAGCAGCACTTTCACTGTACCGACTAGAAGGAACTGTGCTGTGAAATCTAAGCGTGCTTATTCCTTTGCAGGACCATTGATTTGGACTGTAAGCAGGGGCAGTGGCAGCAGGTTTTCATTTTCAGCCTAGGGCAAGGCTCTGAAGATGAAGTGCTATCTAAGCATTGAATAGGGCATTGGAAATACCTTACGTGGAAAGAAAAAACTGACCTGGGTTTTTATTAGCTGTCTCTGACATAATATGCCAAGAGTTTTGCCTGTGAAGTAAGCAAGAACTAGAATCTGGAGAGTTCTCACATTTTGAAACCTGTCAAACACTTTCCATCTTCTACTCTCAATTCTTTTTTGCTAGTATTTCCTCTCACAGAGAAGCAGTAGTTGGAAAATATTTATGAATAATGCGTTTGTAATTCTGCTACAAACAGTAGCTTGGCTATGCTGTTTTAAAATGCAGTAGCAATACACATTCATTTTCAGAAATGCCTGCTATGAACCAGATTTCATTGCTGTAAATAATGATATTTGTATATCTTTTCTCTTTGTTTAGATGTTGTAATCTCAACAGCTTGTCACCCAACAGAAAACATCATTGCATCAGCGGCACTAGAAAACGACAAAACAATTAAACTGTGGAAGAGTGACTGTTAAACGTTCCAGTATCACTTTAGAGACTGTCAGGAAAAAATGTTTTTAAAAAAATATTAAAAAACCACATGAGAATAATAAATCCAGTTTGGCAGGAAACCTGAAGAATATTTGATAAAGTGGTTTCTGTTAGTCTTGGCCCAAAGAAAACGTCTTAGCTCTTTGCTAGAACCGGGCAACGTGGTGGAAAAAAAAAAAAAATGCAGTGTCTCCTTTTCTTGCCTAATCTTTTGGCAGACAAATGGATCATTCTGACATCGCGTTAGAAGTGTCAGCCTTGTATTGGACACCCCAAAGATACTGTACTTTATGGTGGCATTACTTCTGGGCACTGTTGCTGCTTAAGGAAGAGCTGCCAGTCTACTTTGTAACAGTAAGTTAAGTCACGAGCCTAGAGATGTGTGGAATTTTTTTAAAATGTCTAATTTTTTATTTTTTTTTTCCAGAATGTAGGTTCTAGTCTCTTGGGAAGTAAATAGGAGTACTGCATCTTTAAGGGTGCTTCATTTTAAACACTCAGCTCAAACTTTGTGACCAAATAAAACCATGCAGTTCCAGATTCCCCTCTTCCTGCCCCTGACATGACTCCTGTGGTGAAAATCTCCTCTTACCTTCTGTATAGTTGCTTACCTCTTGTTACGTGTGTTTAATAGATGCTGTTCTAGAGCAAAGTTACAGTTCTTCTGTTAACCATTAAAATGAATCCTGCTTGTAGTTGTTCTCAGCATATTTTAATTTTTTTTTCTCTTCTGGTTATAAAGCAAGCTCACAGAACACTGTAAAGTTATTTCAATGTAAAAAGAAAAAACCCAGACTTTTGTATCTTGAAAATCCATCGTATGAAACTGTATTGATAATGGCATGACTCTGTATCTATTTCAGCGTTGGTATTTCTTTCCCTTTTTGTCATACCCATGTGGTATTTACACATCCAAAAAAAAAAATAATACCATGTGCCATAATAAAAAGGTGGGATTTTATGTGTATGCTTGTGGTAAGAGTGTACTAATGTGAAGTGCCTGTCCAAAGAAGCCTCCCTTAAAAACACCTTTAGAAGGAAGTATTTCTGTAGCAGCTCCACTCAGTGAGGAGGGGAGGAGGAAGAAAGGAGGAGGAACAGCGCCGGGGTGCTTTACATCTGTTGTGGAGAAAGAAACGAGGAGCATAACTCAAGTCAAAATTTGTTTAAAGAAAGTTAAGAAGATTGAACTGAAGGTGTCCTCGGCAGAGGCAACATTAGTACAAACCCTCACGGAGACCTTTAGCTAAGGGGAAAGGAATCCCGCTGCCCTCTCCGTGCAGAAGGGGCAGGGCAGGCTGAGTGGTGATCCAGGATTTAGCTTGTGCTGGTTAAGAATTACGTTGAGGCACAGGGTTTATTGCACCCAAAGGGTTCTGCTGTAAGGGGATGTCTTGTTCCTGGTGAAGAAAAAATCCTTTTTTTTTTTTTGTTATTGACCTCATGTGCGTGATAATAACTGAAAATCAATTACAGTACAAACCTCTCCTCTAGTGGCTGCTCGGAGACTGCCTTGCTTTACCCTTAGAGAAGAAGACAGCTGCAAGACATGAGGTATAGCTTTTCTTTTTAAAATATAAAAATAGAGTTCATGTTGAGCTGGTGCTATAAAATGGCTATTAATAATATCGCTGTCTCTTGAGGTTTTTCATTACCCCCAGGAAAGGACACTGTGTCTCTAGGCTTGGTGAGCGTCACTGCCGAAATAATCAATTTCTTAACGTCATGATTTTTTTTTCAGTCTTTCTCACAGGCCGGTGAAACTTTTCAGTTGCGAGACGTGGCTGTGCTGCTTTATCCATGTGGAGAAGCTGTTATATTACTCTAGCAAAGCATTTTCACATAGATTCAGCAATGTTTTGTAGCATAGAACTTGCCATGTAGCTGCGCGTGTGCGGGTGGCTTTGCTTGCCCAGCTGTGCTACGGCTTTCCCTGTCTGAGTCAAAGAGCTACGATGAAAGGAGATGGTTTCCCCGCTATTGGGAGGAAATCTCTCCAGCAGGGCTCTTCTCTTCCCCCAAACTGAAGAGCCCTGGTGGAAAGGATCTACTCTTCTAGCTGTCCTTTGTAAAGGTGTTTAAGTCCCTAGTATTCCACCTGGGAATAATGCTGAGGCCTATCTACTGAGCTATAACTATATGCAGCCTGGCACGCCAGGGGTGGTTTGATGGTCAGGATTAGCTAATGGTGATGAGTGGGCTGGCCTGCCCTCCTGTCACAGGAGAGGCATAGCTTCGCTTGCGTTAGGTGCAGGCTGGTAGGGGTCGCAGCGTGTTGCAACCTGCTAAGGGAAAAGTTAGCTATCGCCCTGGGGCTCTGCTCTGCTGGGTGCTTTGAGGCTGAGGGAAAAGGAGAAACTGGGTGAAGAGAACGGGAGGGAGCTGGTTTTTTAGGGTTCCCCCTCCGCCCCGAAAAAAAACATGGTTAGATGCCACGAAGTAGGTGGCAGTGCCTTAACCGTATGCGTGTTGTACAGGCCACTGGGGCCTCTTCCATCCTTATCAAGGGGAGTGCTAACCTTCTCTCCTTTCATACAACACGGCTCTGCGCCTGCGCCCGCTGCTATTTAAACCTCCATCAAGCTGCTCCTATACAGGATCGAGTGAGAAAAACTTCGCGTTTTCTTCCTTCTCAGTTTGACATCTCTTTCCGACCCCGATAAGAAATTTTTACTTCCACTCCTCGTTTGAGTAGAAAAAACCCTGAAAACCCCGTTAAAACAGCAGAGACGCGCGCTTTTTGCTACCGTCTTAATGTATTCATCACTCTCAGCCAATCGGAGCGCAGCAGCCGGATCCTCGTCGACTGCCCCCTGCCGTTGGCGCCGAGCCCCCGCCCGCCGTGCACCCCGCCCCGACGAACGGGCGCGCTCCCAATCAGCGGGCGCGTTAACCGGGGGAGGGCGCTTCTGCTTCC